GCTTAGGGCTTAAGGCTTTGGTGTTGCTTAGGGCTTACTTAAAGGTTTGGATTTAGGGCTTAAGGATTTAGGGTTTGGAGTTGTAATACTTGGGGGGGTTGTTATTCGGGTTTTTGCTTTTGGGTTTAGGGGTTTAGGGTTTTAAGTTTTAATTAATTAACAACTATTTGGGGGCATTGTTATTGGGGGCTGGCTGCCTGCAGTAGGGCCGCAGCTGCTTTTTGCATCAGTCGCTGACCGGTTGTCTGCTGGGGCACAGACAAGCTGCGTCAGGAGAGCTGTCCGCTTCAACAGCTGTTGCAGAAGACTCTCTGAAACGGTCCTTGTCTGTCTGCGACATTCCCTGCAGGGCTTGCCCTGCAGCGTCCATGCTTGGTCCTGCAGAAGGAAATGAGTCGACTGATGCTCCTGTCCTGTCTTTGTTTGGCCAAAATGGCCTGACAAAAGCAGCAGCAATCAATCACTTCTGAGACTGCCTGTCCGATTCTCGTGTCCTGCCTGGGTCTGGCCAAGCAAGGCAGGCTGACGGTCTGCAGCCGCAACGGCTGCGTGGGAAGCGGTCGTGGTGTTGACCACCCCGAAACCCCCCTAATATTAAAACCAAACCCGAAATCCGAGTTTTAATATTGGGGGGGGGGGTTTACTAATCGAGGGAAGCGATTAGTGGTAGTATTTTTTTCCGCCAGCAGCTGGCTCCTGGTCCTAGAAGAACACGGTCCCGGATTGGGGCCGGTTCAGCGCAGCGGCAAGCGGCTCGGCCCGTCCGGGTGGGCAAGATCGAGCACCTCGTCCAGGGCCGGCGCATCAGTATGTGCCGGGCGCGCCCCAGCACCGTGTGGCCGACAGCTTGCTGGACGGCCACGGAAAGCACGCTCCACCAGCGGCGAGCCCACGCAGCCTTCGCCGGGGCTCGCACTGCCGGCGGGGCCCTGTGCGCGCGGAGGGCGACAAGGCGCAGTAGTAGTAGTAGTAGTAGTAGTAGTAGTAGTAGTAATAGTAGTAGTAGTAGTAGTAGTAGGTAGTACTAGTAGTACTAATAGTAGTAGTAGTAGTAGTAGTAGTAGTAGTAGTAGTCTTGTCACCCACTTGGCACGTCGACGACAGTAGTAGTAGTAGTAGTAGTAGTAGTAGTAGTAGTAGTGCTTTTTTTTCCAACGCACCTTTTTGCAAGCATCCGGGCGCGGTCCCAGCGCAGCAGACTACCGGAACCAACCAAACCCACAACCAAACCCCTAACCATCCCGAGCACGCAGGCAAGCTCATCCCATGCGGGAGGTGAGCGGAGGTGTTTCGGAAGAGTCAGCGAGGACGTCACTCAGAAGAGGCGCCTCGCCATCAAGGTTGGCGGTGTTGGAGATGGGAAGGGACAGCAAGCTGGCAGCAAAGGAGCGTGCGGCAGCTATGGAGAGAAGCCCAGACCACCGGGTGACAAAGGCGGCCACACACGCAGCGCGCTGGGGCACGGCGGCACTGCGCGCCCGCGCCCGCGCCAGCAAGCGGATGAAGGTGGCAGCTTCGACGCTCTAGCGACCACCGACTTCCAGACCGAGGACAACCAGGCGGCACCGACGGGCGTCGGCGAACTCAGGGTAGGCACGCTCTTTGGCCCGGCGTGCTTCGGCCAACGCTGCTCCAGCGGTGCTGCCTCTCAGGCGCCGGGGCACACCGGCAGAAGTAAGTGGCGAGACCAGTGTAGTGTCAACGGCAAGTTGCGAGCCTCCACACAACGGCAGGCCGTTGGCTATCACCTCGATGTGGCGCTCATCATGCCTGCGTGCCTGGAGGTTCAGGTCACGCACCAGGACGTGTGGCGACAGCGGCACCAGCCTCACGGCAGACCCGGGCAGCTGCACGCTCCAGCGGCCCACTCCGTGCCCTGAGAACACCAGACCGAGGGCAGGCAGCGACGTGGTCACCCAAAGGATCAAGCGGACGCCCACAGCGGCATCGCGCAGGAGCAAGTGGCAGAGGGAGCCGCAAGCGACGGAGAAGCAGGACCCGGAAGAGCGCAGAGTCGAGGGCGAGCTCTGGGGCAACAGGGCGAACAGTGAGCAACCTGGCGGCGAAGGGGCCGGACTGTGAGTCCAGGAGTGCGAGCTCCGCAGGTCCGACGGCGCGGCGGTGCTCGGCAAAGGCACGATCATCGAGGACGCGAGAAGCAGAGCGTTGCCAGCCCCGATAGGGGACATCGGGGTCATCGGGGTCGGCATCGTCAGCGGCAGGTGCAGGGCCATGCCGGGGCAAATCAGCGCGGAACCGCAAAACCAGCCTCAGCAAGGGCGTCGGAGGCCTGCGCCAGATCATGCACAGGCGACCACTCAAGGACACGGCGATCGTCAAGGGCTTGCACCAGGGAAGTGCGGTGCGTCGCGGACACGAAGGACGGCAACGGCGTCAGCCCAGGACGCCCAGTAAGCTGCAGGCGCGTGCAAGGCTGCACTGCGCAACCCAAGACCGCCATGACGAAGAGCAAGCTGTGCAACACGGGCAGCTGCCGGCGGCAAGGGGGACGGCCCCTCGGCAAGCAACAACGCGCTCAAAGCTGTGAGCACACGTTCCGCGTGTGCGTGTGCAAAGTCCCGTGTCAAGCGAGGTGGAAGAGTGCGCAAGGCAAACTGTGCGCGGGGGGCAGCTGTGTAGAGAAGCAGCAGCCAAGAGACCTGTGTGTCACCGAGCCCGGGCAACGACGAAAGCAGAGCCTCGTGCCGGGTGGAAAGAGTTTGCAAGTGCCTCACCGAAAGGAGTACCGAGCAGCACGATGCCACGTGATGAAGGCTCCAGGGCAGGGTCCCCGAACCACACACGTGTATCCGACGAGAGCTCTCTCAAGCCGTCCGGGGCAAGGCCAGCGCCGTTCCAGATGGCGGTCTTGCCCACATTGAGGCGCAAACAAGTGTGACGAGCAAGGTGGTGCTCGAAACGACGGACAAGATGCAACACACGCTCGGGGGCAGCGAGGATGGTGACATCATCAAGGTAAGCCAAAACGCGTTCCCCAAGGTCCTCGCGCAGCTCACGTTGAAGGTCAGTGAAAGCAGGCTGCAAACCCAAACAGAACAGAGCTGGGCTTAAGGGGTCCCCTTGCCCTACGCCCTCGGCTTGGCGCAGCTGTCGAGTGGTGGTGCCTTGCTGCCACACGAAGGACGACGGACGACCCAACCAGAGCCTAGCAAACGGGAGCAGCGCAGCGGCAGCAGGGAGGGACCGGAGTTCCTGAAGAATCGACTGGCGGCTGATGCCGTCGTATGCGGCGGATGCGTCCAAGGAAACCACAGTAAGGTTTGGATCATGTGCGCACCTAGCCTGCGCAGCATGAACCAATGCATCCAGGCCAGCACGATTGCCAAGGGCATACTGGTGTGGACAAGCCTCCTCGACGGCGCCAGCAAACTGCTGAGCGAAGAAGTCGCCAACGACCAACCCACGGGTACCCCCGCTCGGCTTCGAAAGGGCAACAACCCGACCAAGTCCAAACGCGGGCAAGGTGGCAGCAGGGATGTGCGCTTGCGAGAGCAGGGTCGCGACATCAGCGAACGCCTGCGAGGACACCGCATCATCCAAGACCACATGTGCAATTTCGGCAGTGAGCCCAGAAGGCCCAGGAGCAGCCCCTTTCCGGGCCCGGCGTAAGTTGGTGAGCAATGCTCTGCTGTCAAGTGCAACGGGTGACGGCGGCTGCCACGCAAGCAAATCCGGGGCGAGTGGGCCGTACGGCTCAGGTGGGCGACGGCTTGGGTCAGAGAGCTGCTCGAAGGTGGCATCGGTGGACGGCGCAAGCGGATCGGCTGTCAACGCTTGCCGGGCGGCGGACAACTCCCCAAGGTGTGCGAGGTGCACTGCTCGTCGTGCCCGCGCATCGTCCGAGGCTGCCGGGCGGCGGCCGAGGCGAGGGTTGGGAAAGGGCTTCCTGAAGCAGCGAAGCCCAATCACCCCGGGAGAACGCTTGGAACCTGGCAAGAAGAACAGGTTTTGGAACACGGGCACCACCGGCCGGCCTGTGCAACAGCATTCGAGGAAGGAGGAACCAGAGTTTCCAGGCCTGGACCAAATCAGGTCCAGCTGGAGCACGGGCGGAGGACCGAATCAAATCCAAAGCCAAATGAAGGGAGCTTCGCAACACACCTTTACAAAAATGCGGGGGGACCCGGAACAGGCGACAAGGCTGCGCAAGGATATCCTCAGCTACAAAAGGGTCAAGGTTCGCCAAGGATGCCCGGTAGCGCAACCGGGCGTCAGCGCCGGGGTCATGTCCGTGGGACGGTGCATCAGGCATGGGCGGAGGGTCAGCTGCGCCCGGGGTGCTGGAGCTGGTCGAGCTTAAGTCCGAGGTGCTCGAGCTGGGAGATTCGTGGGGAGGTCCGGCTTGCGGCTCGGCATGTGTCTGGCTGCCAACATGCGCTTGGGGAGGGGGGGCATCGGCAACGGGGGCCGGGCCGTTGCGAGGAAGTGCAGCAACGTCACGCAACAGCGCCGATGCCGCCCGCTCCCCCATAAAGACATGCAGTAGCGCCTCCTGGACGGTGGCCGGTATGTACCCGTCAGGCATTGTCACCAGCTGCCACGCCCAGAGCAAGTGCACCAGGGTGTTGGCGGGGAGGGTGTTAGCTTCAGCGGCGAGGGTCAACAAGAGCTGCGCCTCAGGCACTGGGAGCGCTCTCCCCTCCTCGGTAGCAAGTTGTTGCAAGGTATGCAGTGCATGCACCAACGCCGCTGGTTCGACGGGTGCTGCGTCGCGAAGGGTGGTGAGGCCACGCTGCCAGAGGGGCGCATACAAGCCGTGGGTTTCC